CATTCCGACGTTCGCGGCGATATGTAACATGTGCGGCGTAATGGGCGAAATCGTCGTTTTCACGCGTACGCGCCACCCGACGCCTGTTTGCATGCGTGTATGTATGGGGGGGACTTTTAAAAAAAATGTAATTCTTTTTTATTTGTAACTTTACATTTTTGGGGGGGAAACTTTATTGCTATCACATAGGGGGGTTAGAAAACCCCCTTATGTGATAGCAAAATATGTGACAGGTCCTCTTTATGGAGACATCAGGGGTCTCCAAGACCCCTAATGTCACCTAGGACCCCCCTGAAGAAGCTGATGAAGCAAAGATCTGCTTCATCAGCTTCTCTCCAGCATCTGAAGCTGGAGAGTGACACAAGAATGCGGAAGTGATGTAATATACACCACTTCCGCATTCTGACAGCGGAGAGGGGACCGGAGGGAGCTCGTGTACCGAGCTCCCTCTGATCCCCTGTGACAGAGGCCATATGCTGGTCCTGGGCTCGCACTGGGCACAGCAGAGCCCGGGACCAGCTTGACAGCGGGAGGGGGGGAGCCGCGGAGGGCGCAATTCACGGGACCTCATACAAGCGATCCGCCGGCTCTATAGCCGGCGGATCGCTTGTATGTTAACAGGCATCGCTGCCTGTTTTCAAATAACGGGCATTTCCCGCTCATGAGCGCCCAACAGTGCGCGCGAGGGGGCGTGGCTGAGCGGACGTCTAAAGACGCCCGCTCAGATCTAGAGAGCTCCTGGCCAGCAGTTTTTTTACAACGGCCGGCCGGGAAGTGGTTAAAATAATTTTTTTGATTTTTTAAATTTATTTTTTACTGTTTGGGGGTGCTTCGGGGAACTATTTGGGGTCCAAACAGACCCCTGACATTTCCCTTTTAAAATAGAAAAGAAATTGAGGACACCAAATCCTCAATTTCTTTTTTAGCAGCCTCAGCACTCAATGAATGGGAAGCACTCAGTACAGAGGCTCCTCCCATTCATACTTACTATCAATAGTTTCTGAATGGGGAGGAG